TGCTGAGTGTGAAGCCTCCCGCATGTCTGACCAGCACGGTCACCCGTGCGAATGACATACGGGCAGCTATCACTACCCCCGGACGTCCCACGCTAAAACAACCACTCACGCAGCTGCTGGGGCGACTGGGTCTCGCTCCGACGCTACTACCGCTACCACTGGCCACCTCTGGAACCTCCACGCCAAGCTCTAGTCCTACCGCCACCAGTCCCACCACCGCCACTGCCGCCATTCCCACCGCTGCCTCCACCGCTGCCACCAGAGCCCCCACCCCTGCCACCAGTCCCACCACCGCCACCACCTCCACCGCCTCCACTACCAACACTGCTGCCCCCACCACCACTCCCGCTGCCCCCTGCACCACCCCTGCCACCCTTGCCCTTGATGTTGCGGCGCTTCACACTAGCAGAAGCAGCTCCAACGTCCTCAGCACCAGGGACGTCTGCAGCAGCAGCAGAGGCGTAGGAGGGGGCAAGGGGGGAGGGGGAGCACCCCTCAAAGAAGGGCGTGCGCGGAGTGCCACGAGCAGCATCTACAGCAACTGCACTAGTCTCAGCTGCGAGGAGGTGATCCTCGAGTAGGTCAACAGTAACGGAGGTGGGGTCGAGTGAGAGAAAGTGGTCCCTGACAGAGCGAAGAGAGTCAAGGAGGCGAGTGACTATGAAGTCGAGGGTGATGAACATCGGGGGCTGGTTCCTGTCAAGGAACTCAGCAGGGACGGTAGCGCAGTAGCGAGCGTCACTAGCGCGCAGGTGGGAAACAAGGTCCTCTACCGTGGCAAAGGCTGACAGCTCGGGAAACAGGTAGGGCAGAAGCAGGCGGCCTAGAGCAGCAGTGGCAGGCGAGGAGTAGCAAGCGACTACAGCGTCGTAGAGTGCATGTGCTGTCCTGTGCTGTCCGAAGTGAGCGCATTCGGCTAACGGCAGGTGGTTGCGAATGGCTAGGCGAGCAGCAGCGTCGTGAGTAAGCCACTGTGAGCAAGTCGCACTGTCAGCTGTGGCGGGAGGGGCAGTAGCGGCGCCTCACGCTAGGCCAAACAGCGAAACACTGTCCTTAGAATCGCTCAGAAGGTACAGCTGCAAATCGGCAAACCACGTGTCAAACTGAATCGGTCTGCCCTTATGATCGAATGTGAGAACTCGAAGCGAAGCCATAGTGGCGCAGCACGCAGGGGCAGCAGTGGCAGCAGTAGCAGTAGCAGCAGTAGTAACAGCAGTAGCAGCAGTAGCAAGAGCAGCAGCAGGGGTCGAGGGGCCGGGGGGTCAGGAGCAACGAAGGGCCTAGGGGTGACGGGCCGCGGGGCCGAGAACGAAGGGGCCAAGGGGCCAAGGGGCCGAGGGGCCTGGGGCCTAGGGGGGGGGTCGGGCCGCGGGGCCGAGAACGAAGGGGCCGAGGGGCCGAGGGGCCAAGGGGCCAAGGGGCCGAGGTGCCGGGGGCCTAGGGGGGGGGTCGGGCCGCGGGGCCAGGAATGAAGGGGCTGGGGGCCGAGGGGCCGGGGTCCTAGGGCGACGGGGCCAAGGGGCCAGGGGCGAAGGGGCCGAGGGGCCAGGGGCCTAGGTGCGTCGAGCCGCGGGGCCAGGAACGAAGGGGCCGGGGGCCGAGGGGACGGGGGCCTAGGGCGACGGGGCCGAGGGGCCAGGGGTGAAGGGGTCGAGGGGCCGGGGGCCTAGGTGCGTCGGGCCGCGAGGCCAGAAACGAAGGGGCCGGGGGCCAAGGGGCCGGGGGCCTAGGGCGACGAGAGGGGCCGCGGGGCGACAGGGCCTAGGGACGATGGGGGGCCGCGGGGCCTAGGCTAGGGGCGACCGGGCGACGGGCCGCGGGGCCTGGGCCTAGGCTAGGGGCAACGGGTCGCGAGGGGCTGTGGGGCCGAGGGGCCTAGGCTAGGGGCGACGGGCGACGGGCCGCGGGGCCTGGGCCTAGGCTAGGGGACATGGGTCGCGAGGGGCCGTGGGGCTAGGGCCTAGGCGAGGGGCGACGGGCGACGGGCCGCGGGGCCTGGGCCTAGGCTTGAGGCGACGGGTTGCGACGGGCGACGGGCCTAGGGCGACGGGTTGGGGGTCGATGCGCCAGGGCATCGGGCCGGGGCGACAGGTCGCAACGGGCGACAGGGCGCGACAGGCGACAGGGGTCGTGACGGACGACGGGCGACGGGGGTCGCGACGGGCGACGGGCGACGGGGGCCGGGCTAGGGGCCTAGGGCGACGAGAGGGGCCGCGGGGCGATGGGCCGGACTATGGGTGGCGACGGGCCGGGGCCTAGGGGCCTACGGATCGCGACAGGAAGTAGGGGCAGCACGAGGGCTGCAGAGGGCTGCTAGCCGGGTAGCGCTGTAGTGGGCCCAAGGAAAAAAAAACAGTCCTAGCGGAGGACCTGCTCTGAAACCATGTCAGAATAATGAACGAGAATGAATGAACTATCAAAGAGTTGGGTACATGTACTAACCCTAATTGGGTTGTACCCCTTATGGGCTACCCCACTATAGCCTACGCAATATAAGCTATATATAAGTTTGAAAGGGTACGTTTGTGTGGAGTGCAGCGTTTGTTTGTCGTACGAGAAAGATACTACACGATACTCCAGGAGTGGTGACGAGGGGCGTGAGTTGCAGGCGCAGACAATGCGGTTACTGTCAAATAGTATATATAGCTTACTTTGTGTAGGATAGAGTGGGGTAGCCCATAAGGGGTACAACCCAATTAGGGTTAGTACTTCCAGACCTTCTCCCCCACCCCCAAGATGACTACTCTTTGGGTGTTGCTGCACGTCGCTGCTCAGCGTGACTACGAGTTGCACTCTCTGGACTTCAGCACAGCTTTCCTGATGGGCAGCCTGCACAAGGAGATCTGGTTGCGCTGCCCACCTGGTTTCACTGAGTCTTTTCCTGCAGGTACTCAGTGGAGTCTTCCGCGGCCAGTCGACGGTCTCCATCAGGCACCTCGCGAGTGGCACGACACACTGAGGACTACACTTGCGGCTCTTGGGTTTGCTCCTGCTACTGCTGACCCGTCGCTGTTTCTACGCACCGACACCTCGCTGCCGCCGTTTTACGTCCTTGTCTACGTCGACGACCTCGTCTTTGCCACTGCTGACACTGAGGCACTGACTCTTGTGAAGTCGGAGCTGCAGAAGAGACACACCTGCACTGACCTGGGTGAACTGCGCAGCTATCTTGGCTTGCAGATCACCCGGGACAGAGCTCGGCGCACCATTACCCTGACTCAGTCACACATGGTGCACCAGGTCCTTCAGCACTTCGGCTTCCAGTTTTCCTCGCCATAGCCCACTCCTCTGTCTACCAGCCACTCGCTCTCAGCTCCACCTTCGGACGAGTCCGTAGAGCCGACTGGTCTGTACCCAGAGCTTGTGGGTTGCCTCATGTACCTGATGACGTGCACTCGACCCGACCTCGCGTACCCTCTCAGCCTCCTGGCTCGCTACGTGGCTCCCGGTAGGCACCGAAAGGTGCACAGGGATGCTGCGAAGAAGGTACTGCGTTACTTGTCTAGTACCTCAGGCATGGGTCTCGTGCTTGGAGGACGGGGTCCAGTTGTCCTCACTGGTCACGCAGACGCTTCTTGGGTTGACGACTCCGCTACGCAGTGGTCGTCATAGGGTTACACCTTCGGCCTCGATTCCGGCCTTGTTTCCTGGCGGTCTACCCGTTCGTCTTTGGTTCTCAGCTCCAGTTGTGAGGCTGAGATCTACGCATGGGCCATGGCTGCACAGGAGCTATGCTGGCTCACCTACCTGCTAACTGACTTGGGAGAGCAGCCTCGTTCGCCTCCAGTTCTGTACGTAGACAACAAGGCCATGATTGCCTTGTGTCAGGAGCACAGACTGGAGCACAGAACGAAGCACATCACTCTGCAATACTTCCTTGCTCTAGAGTTGCAGCAGCGTGGCCAGCTTTGTCTTGCGTACGTGGCCACTAGGGCCAACACTGCTGATATGTTCACCAAGGCACTTCCGCCTGGTGATCATCAGCGCTTCTCTACTGTTTTAGGCCTTGTGCCTACTTTGCCTCACTTGCTCACTGTGTGACTTTGCTTGTACTATTATCTATATATGTACCTGCATGCTTACTCTTGCTAGGCTATGATCACTGTACTGTTTGTGCGCTTTATATAACACTGCATGTGAACTGGCCTTGTGGCCCTTTGCTTGTGCTCGGACTGTGTGGTGACTTTGTGATCCATCCTGAGCTTGCTTTGCTTTTCTTGACTGGTCTTATGACCACTTGTTCTCCCCCACTTTGCCTATGGGGGTGTGTCAAAATGTTATATAACTTACTTTCTGTAGGGTGTAGTGGGGTAGCCCGTAAGGGGTACAACCCAATTAGGGTTAGTACTTGTACCAACTTTCTGCTCAATGAATTCATTCTTGTTTATTCTTCTGACAATTACATGAGCACATGATTGCTTACAAGGAAGCGATGAAGCACCAGCTGGACATTGTTGAAAACATTCAAAATGGGCAGAAGAAGCTCGACAAGTTCATCAGCGCCGACGTGGAGGGTCGGCGTTCAATACGACTGATACGATCGGTGATGTTTCCTTGCAAAGTTGAAACTCCGATGAGCTGATGCAGCATCCCGCAGAGCAACACTCCCCCGACAAACTGCGACTGTCGTACGGAGTGTATATTTCGTAGTAAGCACCTATGGACGTTAATGATGTATTTTATGTTGCCTAGCGTGTTACTGATTGCATGTCCGTTTTCCACGAGTACGGATTTCAACAGAGGGTCCACATCACCAGCACCTGTTTGACGAGGACTCAAATATAACACATCTAGATTCGCTCTTTCTTGGCATCATTTGCGACGAAAGCATGGACAGTGTGAGAGGGAAACACATGATTTTGTGCGTAACTTTCTTGAAGAACCGTCGTGTCATGACAGAGTTTTGCACCCTACTGACAGTTGAAAAGAGGGATGCATGGTCCTTGTTCGAGGTTCTCATGAATCACATCCACTCAGTTGCGATCGAAGCCTCGAGGCAT